GACATTTAGGCTGTTTCCATGTTTTGGCTATTGTAAATAGTGCTGCTATGATTTTATGATTTTCTTAATTCTCACGTTTATGTAAGTACAACAAAGTATGTGTGATGTTTAATAGTGATTAAAATGAATGTCTTGATTTCACTTGATATTTATTTAAAATTTTGAAAATTCACAGGTTGCATATGGCCAAGTTCTTGGAGTTATAGGATATTCATTACTTCCTCTCATTGTAATAGCCCCTGTACTTTTGGTGGTTGGATCATTTGAAGTTGTATCTACACTTTTAAAAGTAAGTAGTGTGTATTATAAAAAGTAGTAACAGAAGTATACAGTTGTCTCTCAGTATCCATAGGGGGTTGGTTCCAGGACCCCTGCAGACACTAAAATCTGCAGATGCTCAAGTATCTTATACAAAGTGGTGTAGTATTTACATATAAGCTATGCACATCTTTACATATACTTTGGGGAGAAGCTTCAAGAAGGTGGAATAGAAGGACAAAGAGCTCACTTCCTTCCAGAAATACATATACTTTAAATCATGTCTAGATTGCTTTTGATACCTCGTACAATGTAAATGCTATGTGAATACTTGTCTGCGATGCAGCAAATTCAAGTTTTGCTTTTTGGAACTTTCTGAAAAATTTTTTCCCTGAATATTTTTGATTCACTGATGGATCCGTGGATACAGAACTCACAGTTAACAAGAACTGGTTATACTAGTTCTCTGGCTAAGAATCTTGTAATCTATAATTATTTATCAAACAATTACTATTTTGGGACAGTGACCATACTAATTTTACCAGTTCTATTTCTTTTATTTTCCCTTTTTAATTGCCAGAAATTATAATGTATGTCTAGGTAGGAATAAAAAACAAAATGCAAATCAGGCCTCAGAATATTACACCAAAGAATTTAAAAATTTTTCTTCTCTATCCTTATAGTACAAGTTCATCTGAGTTAGATTTTGTGGGAGATGTTTATTTAAAATTCCACTGGACATTTATTTAATAATTTTTATTCCAATTTGAATAGTAAGTTTCTTATTAAATATGATAGACATGGTTCCAATTAGCTTTTCTATGTTGCTGAGATCAGGACTTTATACTGTGTTAAATTTCCGTTAACATATGTATCCACTTTAAACATTTACTGATATTATTAAATATTAATAATAAGTAGTGATGTAACTTTTGGCATTTATTAATTTTGAACTGCTTTGAGAAATAAATAACTGCTTTATCACATATGTGTATATTGCACAACGAATGTAATTTTCTTTTTCTTTGTGGAAAATAGAACTTTTTAAGACCATCACTTCTAGAACTAACATTATGTCGCCTCCATGCTAAAGTATTTAAGTAGTTACTTTTATGACATTTGGTTTTACTTAATGTTTGTTACAATATAATTCCAATATAAAACAAATTATTCCTTTTAGAATTGAGTAACTACAGGCTAATATTGACATTATATGAGTATTGGGTATTTAGAAGAGTTGGATTTTGAAACCAGTCACTTCTGAATTCAGATCGTGGTTCTGCCACTTACTTCCTTCTGCCTTGGGGAGATATTTTTTCTTATCCTCCTCTGGAAAAGGGGAATCTTAACAACTCCTTTTTAGGGTTTGTTATGAAGATTTTAAAGTATAAGTCATGCCTAGTACAGTGCTTGGCACAGAATAGGCACTCATGTGGTAGCTGTTATTATTATAAACATTAAAAGACTATTTTGAGAACATGTTTGTATGTTCAAACTGTTTGAACACTTCAGAGCCTAAGGAGAAGCGCTTTCTTTCCTGTACATTCTAATCGTAAAAGTTTTTTATTTTTTAATTGTCACTATTAGCTCTTAATTTAAAAGTCGTGCAGTGCAGGAGCTAGCCCCATACTGGCATTTAATTATCTAATCTTAGTGAACATACCACTTTACTGAATCATTCAAGATCACTTCCTGCCTGTGTGTTGTTTTTGGATTAAAGCCTGTTTGAATACTTCTGAGACTACTCCCAAAATTGCTAAAACTGTGTTCTCTGGTTATTTTTAGTCATCAAGTTCAACTGAAAATTGATCTTAGTATTTTTTATACAACATATTTATGTATTATAAAATGAGTCTTTTTTATATCATTAAAAATTCAGGATAAAATTATTTTTATTTTTAAATACAATTACTTTATTGATTTCTTACAATCAAATACTGCTAACTAGCATTACTTACACTCATGCATCATTAAGAACAAGAGGATATTCCCTTGGAATTTTCAAATTCTGCATTATACAATAAACAAAGACCTTAAAATGCACCCTGATTAATTGCATAAACTGGTCATTTTTTTTTTAAGTGTAACTAATAATTTGGTTCCTAGGATAAAATTTTTTAAAATTTTTCTTTGGTAAATTTTTTCCTCTAATCACTTAATCTTCTGTGTATAGTGAGCTGTTGTACATGCTTCTTGTTTCAGTCCAAAGTTTGTTGAGAAATAAGGTTGCTAAATGCTCATCACTTAACTCTAGTATTAGAATACAGTTTAATCTACAAGCATGAATTTTTTTAACATTAAGTCTCTGTAATTCTTACCAATATTTAACCATTTATTTACAACAAAACTTTAATTGTGACATCCAGATGCAATTTCATTATAATTTAGTTCCATATATTTTCCTGTACTTTTTTTTTACAAGTTTAAAATATTTTTGTAGTTGTTCGTTTGTTTGTTTTTAGTTTAAAAAGCACAATGGAAAGTTAGACTATCTCAAATACATTTTCAGTAAGTCTGTCAGGATTTCTTTTTTATCTCTGTACCAGTGGTTCTGAACTGATGGTGATTTTGTCCCCCAAGGATATTTGGCAATGTCTGTGGACATTTTTGAGTGTCACAAATGGGGAGAGTTACGATGTTACTCGTATATAGTGGGTAGAGACCAGGGATACTGCTGAACATCCTACAATGCACAAGACAACTTCCCACCACAATTTTCCTGCCCCAAAATGTGATTAGTGCAAAGCTGAGAAACCCTGCTCTGTGCCAAATCTATTTCTATCATAATTTCCCTGATTTCTGCCCTTAAATTTCTCCCTTTCATTTTATTCTGTTAAATGCCTTCAATGACTACATTAATAAATACTACATAAATTTCTAGTGGAAATAATTTAAAATTAGGTATGTGTATAATCAGAAAACTCTCCACCAAAATGTTGTTTTTCCTTCTTTTCATTTAACACTATACTTCTACCTAGTCCTGGGGAAATGCTGTGATACTTACTAAGTATTATGTAAAATATTCACTTAATCTGTTTTCCTACTTCTTGGAAGGGAAACAGGGAAAAATTTCTACTCTGTAAGGATCAGTTTTCTTTCAGCAAACAAATATTTTTCAGCAATTTATTCCAGTAATAGTTTTTCCAGAAGTTGCCTTATCTTAAGTCACCAGGGACACATGTTAAAAGGACTCATCATTAGAGTCTTCTCATAAATTCTGATTCAACAGAACTAGAATGAATCCCATGATTCTCTTCTTAATAGGCACCCGAGGTGAGTTTTATGATTAGACAGGTTTGGTAACAAAAGACTTCATTTGCAGAAGTTAAGGAGCAGAGCAAGGATTAATATTATTAATAAGTTTTAAACATTCTCAGTAAGCTTTACTATTTACCACAATCAGTTGTCAGAGTTGTTCTTAAAAAATATTGTAAATGTTATTTTTACTCTGTGATACCCAAAGTGTTAATTGACTTGCTAATATGCTGCCTTTTTTTGTTTTTTGTTTTTGTTTTTGTTTTTGTTTTAAAGCTCTTTGGTGTGTTTTGGGCTGCCTACAGTGCTGCTTCATTGTTAGTGGGTGAAGAATTCAAGACCAAAAAGCCTCTCCTGATTTATCCAATCTTTTTATTATACATTTATTTTTTGTCCTTATATACTGGGGTGTGATCTAAGTCATATACGAGTAGAAAAAGACAATGTTACATTTCTGTGCAGGCTGGGAATTCTTGTTTGAGGGGAATGAAGAAAACCTGTTGCTGGTAAAATTTTACATGTTCCAGATGTAAAGGCAGTTTAAAGTCTTTTTAAAACAATTTTTTTGTATTTAATTAAGCAGTTGCAATTATCTGAATTTTTTTGGTCAGAATTCTAAATTCTGTTTGATTCTCATATTCCAGTGAATAAAATATAAAAGCACTGTGTTTTTAAGATTGTGTCAATGTTCACCTAAAAACTTGTGCCAAAAGCACCTGGAATGGTAATTATATTTTACTTGAAGGATAAATATGACAACATCCTGATAATCTAAAAGTGCACTTTTTTCTTTAGAGTTTTCTTCTGCATCACAGATCCTGTAGATACATATTTATATTTATACATATATATTTATGAAGTAATTCTTATTATTCACAAAATATATTTCTGAATAGCCTAAAAATTAAGATATTTTAAGTCCAGTGCTTAAACCTTGTTTAATTTGGCCATTAAACTTTTTATTTATAAATTTAAATTTGTTTTTAAATTGTATATAATTTTGAAAATCTCATACATGCTTCAGTATGTCCTTGTTAAGAATTCTGAATAGTAACAACTAAAACCAATTATAACAGTTGCTGAGGTTTGGTTTGTTTGGGTGTGCTTTTACAAACCCCTTTTGAATGTCTAAACATCTGATTTACATTTTGTGTTTCTCTTTCTGACCAAAGGAGCAAGAGGTGTAATGGATATGGCAGTCATTAAAATTGTCAATATGTAGAAAAACAGTAATATTTATAGCATCAGTAAATATTTTTAAGTGATACTTAAGTCATAAAAGTTGCTGGAAAGAGACCTTTAAAATCTTGTGGTCCTGAATAATGTTACATGAAGTAGAAAAAAATAAAATACTTCCCAGTTGTGTGTTTTGTTTTATAACACCTGTCCTGTATTACTTGATATTTTGACAAGTATCAGGTACCCTTAACAAGCATACAATATTTGCTAAGGGAAATATTAAGAAATTTCTACTAGTGAAATTTTTTTTGCAAATAATTTCAGAGATTTCTAGATGTACCTTTAATTAATATTATCTTGTAAAGTAGATAAAATATTTTATATCCATAAAGTAGCAAATGCCTAATAACTATTAGCAAGTTATTATATTATCCTTTCTGGTCTCAGCTAGAAGAATTAACTGCTGTTCTCAATATGGTAGCATGGCCGTCTCTTGGTATGTATTCCTTTAGCAACCTTATCTGTCAGGAAATATCCAGCAATTCTGAAGCAAGCCTACAAAAATTAGCAAGATATCAAGCCTGTCTCTCTACCTTTCCACCTCTCCCTCAACCTACAAGAGAAAAAAAAAAAATCAGATTTTAAGCTGTAGGAAAAGCGTGGAGCTACCCTTCAGCCAGAATAATGTGGGAAAATTATATAATGCTGATTTTTAAACTCAGCTTAGGAAAACAGATTAGAAGCACCAGAGGGGCAGAAAGTCTAGAACCTAAAATAATATGAAATAGTACGGAAGAATCTGTAGCTACAGGAGCAGCAACTCTAGAATAAACATTTGTCACACTCCAGGAGTTCCTGAGATCAAGACTTGGTTATAATGGATTATTATATTTGATTTCATGGTATTGACCCTGGAATCTTCCTCAAAAAGCTTGGGGGTCCATACCAGGCGGTAGAATTTTACTAAACAAAAAGTTAAGGTGTTTTAGGACCAACTTCATCAAAAGATGGTTTAAAAATTTTTTAAGCTATCATTTCTTTAAGATGTGAATAAAAAGTTTACTTATATGGACCATGTTTATTCCTAATAATGTAAGATAAAGTGAGGTAATTATGTTCTAAAAAAGCTTTAAAAAATAATAGCATTTAATCTTGGGAACTGCCCTGTTTTAGGGTATATATAAATGCAATTTATAATGCTTCAGGCACATCCAATATCTTCATGTGCAAATGAGCAAAGCAGTTAAAACAGATTGTTAGTTTGAAAGCACAGTTTGTAAATGTGTACAAGATACAGTACTCCTACAGCTAATGGTAAGCTGACCATAATGACCTCTCCTTGAATTTGTATATGATAATATTTTATAAGTCATACTAATTTTAAATCATGATTTCCAATCTAATTAGTAGTTCATTTGTAGTTTTAAACAGAACTAACAAGATAGTCTCTTCTAGTTATGTGTGTGTGCATGTTTTAAGTGTTATCAGTTATGATCCTGATGAATGTTACTCCTTAAAAAAGAGACATTTTTACTTCTGTTTTAAATTGATTGTAAAATAACTGAAATTTTTATTACAGATCAAAGACTATATAATTTTTATTGTATTAAAATACAGTTTAGGAAGATTTCTAAAATTTTATGAACCTTTATTAAACTTGGCAATTTCTAAGGTCAGTAAGACAGTTTTATATATAATGTGTCTATTTCCAAAAATTCCCCAAATATTAATATATTAATATTTCTAAATTAGTGAAAATTTGACTTAAAATATGAGGTAGATTTTTTATTTAAGTATTGTTTAAAATTTAGGTCATTAAAAATTCTGACATAATAAAACATTGAATAAATAATGCTTCTATAAACTAATAAAAACAGAATATTTTCCATATTCAACAAAACAATATTTTAAGATGATTGTTATTCACCTTTTCCATTTTTATTAGTGCATATTTTAGCTAATTTAGGCTTTAGGAAATTGTGACACATTTGTTAAGTTTTGTTAAAATATCTTCTGTACGATTTTTCTTTTGTAATTGAACAGGTTGGATTTTTTATTTGTTCGTTACAAGAAAAGAGAACAGCTCTCATCATGGGGACCATAGGTTGTCTCAGAATGTTAAAAAGGCCCTATTACAGGATGTAGGCTTGTTTATGTTGATATAGTTCTTTCCGATTACATGGCAATCTGAAATAAGTGTTGATAGAGCTGAAAATCACCTTCAGATATTCTCTGCTCTTGTTAGTTATATAAACAAAATAGTAGTATTTTGTTATTCTCTTTCATAAATGGTTTCTTTAATTGGACCCTTGTATTACATCTTACCTAGTACTACATTTTAATTTCCCTTTAGAAACTTTATTGCAAGTGCTCTATTCCTTATTTGTATAGTTTCCTGGCAGTAGTTTGTGTGTTTGAGAGTCTTTGTCACTTTATAAATAAATGCCCAAATATGATTTTGACATCAGTTAAGAGTAGACATTCTTATATCTTTGCACCAGACATCATACTATTTTCTGAAGAAAATTCCACTTGTGAATACATTTTCTTTGTAACAAACTGGTATGAATTTTATACTCTACTGTGCCTTATGGGGTATAGTGGTCTGAAGAGAAATGGTTAAGAGAGTATCCCCTATACAAGGTATATATTATTAAACATGAGGCTTAGGGTTAGATTTCTCATTTGAAGTTCTTTTGATATGCTGAGGTTCCAATTTGGAGGTTAATTCAAAGAAAGAATGTCAGTATAAATAAGATGATATTAGTAAAATAATTCCCTATTTTACATTTTGTATTGGTAGTAGTCCTGGTTTCAACTAATAATTTTCAGCAAGTATCCACAAGGTTTTACTTTGAAGATATTTATTTTATAGTTTGCAAGTGCTTGAAAAAAATTCCTTAAACATCCCTTCTGAACAGTTTAGGGATATGCTAATACTATCACTTAGATTTAAGTTAGATATTAATATGAAAAATATTTTTGTAAAATATTTCAGTACTTGCAATTAGATGAAAAAGAATATGAAAACAAATGTAGGTATATGTATGACTGAAACTTTATGCTGTACACCAGAAACTTGACACAACATTGTAAACTGACTATACTTCAATTAAAAAAAAACTTGCAATTAGAGTATATAAGGATTGTTAATACTTGTGGGGGAAAAGTAAGCTCTCCTACCTGTAGTAATTTTCTTAAATTAACACTTTGAATATTAAGTTAGATTTATTAAGAATAGAAACCTTAGTTTTTCTATAGTAGTTGCCACTCAGCAATTTTGATTAAAAATGAAACAGGCAATAAGCTTACCGAAGTATTTACATAGGATCAAATTGAATTACACAGAATGACTGATTATGGGAGAAATTTGTCATCTGGTGATAAAAAGATAACATAAAAGTGATTGCTGCTATTCACAAGTAAGTGCTCCTTGTTGAAGATGAAGTACTGAAATTCTACATTTTCCTCGATTTTATAATGATTCTACTCACTTGTGGAATTAATCAGTTGCTATGTAAATATCACTTAAATGATGTGTATTAATAATGAAACAACCCATATGTTTTATAGTCCTTATGCTAAATTTCTCTCTGATAATTATAGTGACTCCATAGGAAACAGTAAAAAATAATACTTGCTGATGATGATGGGCCTAGGCGCTCGAGTCCCTCATACTTAATCTGCTTTGCCAAATGAGATTTAGGAAAATATGTTGCCTAACACAAATTTATTTTCAACGAATGGTAGTGGTGGTAGCCCCAAGAACAAAACATTCAGAAGAAACAGCTTTTGAACTGGGTATGCTGAGTATGAAGAGATAGTTGATATTCATCAAGTGTTTATTGACCCCTTTTTATGTGCCAGGTACTATGGTAGGTGCAGGGATACAGTGATATGCAACAAAGGCCACACACATATGCACCCCCTAACCTTAATGAGCCAGTATTTTTTGAGACATAGACAATTAGTTTCACAAATTGTAAAACAATTGCAACAAATGGAGGGAGGTCTGTGGAGGCAAGGGAGTTTGTAACAGAAAAATTCCATGAGAAAATCCTTCCTGAAGAAATGCTTAAGCTGAGATTTTAGGGATAAGTAAAAGTTAACTAGGCAGAGAAGGGAGGGAGACTATTCCAGACAGAGGAAATAGCAGGTGAGTAGAAGGAAATGAAAACTCATTTGATTGAGGTTTAGTAGTTTATGAAATCAAACAGGTATGTTGGTACCACACCATACCTGACATTCTAGGCAATGTTTTCTTTGTCAGAGCTTTTGATTATGAATATGATATAAGAGATGTGTCCTTTTAATACTAAGGTCAAGATCTGCAATTGTACTCTTGATATATCCCCAACAGAAATACATGTACATATGCCGCAGGAGACATGACCATGGTAACATTCATAATAGCCAAAAATTGGACAAAGCATATCCATCAACATAAGATGGATAAATAGGTACAGTTATTCAGTGGAATCTTTTTGCAATGAAAATGGTTAGAACCATGTGCAAGAATATGGAGAATTTGTCAAGCATTAATGTTGAGTGAAAGGAGCTGACACCAAAGAATTTGCACCTGTTATCTCCATTTGTATGAAGTTCAAACACAAGCAAAATTAAGCAATAATATTTAGGGATACATATTGAGGTGCAACGTTTTTAAAGCAGCTTTAACAAGGTTTACACACCACAAAATTCATCCATTGTGAGTGTGCAATTTGATAATTTTTAGTAAATTTGTATAGTTGTACAACCATCACCACAATCCAGTTGGCAGAGTTATTTTTATAAAAAGCAAGAAGATGACTGCCATAAAAGTCAGGTTAATGGTTACCTTTTATTGTGAGGGAGAAGGTTTGTATTTGGAAAGAATCTTGAGGACTTCTTTAATGGGTGATTTTTAATAATTCATTAAGCTGTATGTTTTATGTACTTTTCTGTGTGTGTGTTAAAGTGCATCTTAAAATTTTTAAATTGTTTTAGACAGGTTACACTTAATGTAGTTAAATTGCCACTTTGCATTTTGCTCTTTTCGTGCCATAACCATCTTCATGTTACCATTTCTTCAGAGAACTCTTCCTTGAATCTTGTAACTATCCAACCATGTGCCCGAGTTAAACTGTATTACATCACTGCTTGTTTTATTCATAGCACTATTACTCTCTGTAAGTGTCTAGATTTTTCTTTAAATTCCTCCATTATAATGTAAGCCCTATTGGGGCAGGGAAGTTTTCTGACATGTTCATTAGTGTACCCCTAGTACTTCTGTTGAATGAATGCATGAACCTGGTCACTGAATCTCAAATTCAAATCCAGATCCAGTGAATTTCAAAGCCAGTAGCTTAATCATTAGTCTTTCAAAAAATGTTAAAGTTAGGGAAAAGCTCAGAGCTCACCTAACGAGTGTAATCATACCTTATACAGATGAGGAAACTAAGGCCTAAGGAAAGATTGTCTAAAGTAACACTGTTGACCTGCAAAATTGGAATAAGGGCTTACATTTTCAAACCCCAAGTCAGGTGCTCTTTCCATTACAGCGTGGAACAGCAGAATATAGGTAGTTGCCTTCTGCCATAATTGAAACATCTTTCTTTTTCCTCTTTGATCTTTTTTATTCCACTTTTTAGAAATCCACTATTAGTTTTAGGCTTACAGGTACTTCATGTTAATATTAAGTAATTAAGGTTCAAAAGACTGTTGTGAAGATTGAGTGAACTAGTTAATATAAAGCACATAGAATCATCCTAGTATTCAGTGAATATTAGCTGTTTAACTGAGGTCATTTAGATCAATGAAACAGGAAGGTTTCCAGAAATGTATTCAATTATAGAGAGGAAGTTAGTATGTGAAAAGGTAGCATGTCAAATTGGTATAAAAAGATGGATTATTAAATAAGTGAAGATGCTGCATCAGATAGCAGTGTGTTTGTTTTCAAGAAACAACCCTACGACCAGTGGCTTCACTTAATAGGAGTTTACATTTCTCACATAAGTAATCCAAGTGTGTATAATCCAGGGCTGATGTGGCAGCTTAATGTCATCAAGGACTCAAACTCCTTTTATATTTTTACTCTGCCGTTTCTGGTGAGTGGCTTTCTTTCCTGGTCTCAAGATAGCTGCTTCACCTCTAGGTATTACATCTAGATTCCAAGCAGGAAGAAAGGGAAAGTTAAGAGGCCAATGGAGCATGTCATTCAAAGTTGCCTTTATTTAAAAATCTGTCTGAAAGCCACATTCGTTGACTTTCCCCTATTTCTCGGGGTAGAACTGAATCACTCCTTGCTGCAACAGTCTGGAAAGTATCTTAAGCTGGGCACATTACTGCCTTAAACAAAGTCACAGTTCTGTTAGTAAGGGACCAGGTAGGTAATGGATGCCAGATAGGTAACTAGCAGTGTCTGTCTGACAATAACATTATAAGCCACTTAGGAAAATACAGGCTGGATCTATACCTTAACTTCCTACACCAGAGTAAATTATGGATATATAAAATATTTTAAAAGCAGAACAAAATAGGAATTGTTTTCATATACTTTTTGGGAGGATGGGGCTTTTGAAGCATGACATAAATAGAAAAACTAAAAAAGAAGAGATTAAGTAACTCGACTACATATCATTTAGGACAGTTCTGAAAAAGATAAATCTACAAATTGGAGGGAAATATTTGCAAGGCTAGTGTAGATAAAGGGCTAATTTCCTTAATAAGAGAACATTCACAAATTAGTGATTTGAAATGGGCAAAGCATATACATGGGCAATCATATAGTATACACTATGTAATAATAAAAATATAAATTGATAATTTAAGATGGACAAGGAATATAAGCAATTCAGGAGAAATGATTAAAAATAACCAACAAAATTTTAAAAAGACCAATAAATACATGTCCAGATGCACAAATTTGTGTTTGAATGCAGCTCAGACAACAACAACATTGACCTCTCAGTTTGTCAAAACCTTAAAAGATTGAGAATATCCAGTGTTAATTGGTTGGGATTATGAGCAGATATGATATTTAGCGGATAGACACTAGCATAGATGTCTCAGTTGTTAAAATACTGAAATTCGTCTGTATCAGTAGTAAATAGTATTACTGTAACTGAAATAGTACTGAAATTAATAAATTATTTAAATTTTAATGTAAATTTGTTAGTTCTTTTGTGACAGCCATTGATAATGGACTTTCTGTTGTAATGACATTTGAGAAACAATTGCAACATTAGATTGGCCTGTATCATGGTAAATACTATTGCTGCCTTGTGCATTACTCATGAATCATTTTATGTTCTAACAGTTGCTACCGCTTCTAAATAGTTTAGTTTTTAATTTGATTTTACTATTTTAGTGCATTGTAGTTGTTAGTTGAACAGTTAATACAGTGTTTTAATATTTTAAAATAGAAGAATTTGTAACAAAATATAATGAACACCCCAAAACTGACACTATCTGCTATCAGTTGATGTGGAACATATGCATACCATATCACCCAGCAAACCCACATGTTCACCAGCACGTGAATTCAGCACTGTACAATGAAACTTTCTGTGATGGTGAAAGTGTTCTGTGCTGTCCATACAGTAGCTACTATCCACGTGGCTGTTGAGCACTTGGAATGTGGTTAGTGCAACTGAGGAACTGATTTTCAATTTTATTTTATTTAAAGAGCTACATGTGGTGAGTAGCTACCATACTGGTCAGAGTAGTGAGTGTTCATAGCAACATCATTAATAATACCCAAACCTGGAAACAACCCAAATAGACAGTCAATTATGGTGTCACACAATAGAATACAAGAAGATTGAAAGATCTGTAACTACATGTAATATTACTCATCTCAGAAACTTAATGTTGAGCAAAAGAAACCAGACACGAATACATGCTTTATTCTATTTATGTGTGGGACAAAAACATTATGTCGATTACTTTTGAGTGGGAAGAAAAAAACAGAAAGAAGGTACAGGGGTTGGGGCTTCTGGGATGCTGGTATAGTCTATTTCTTAATCTAGGTGCTGATCATATGGGTCTGTTCAGTTAGTGAAAAATTTTCAAGCTATACGCTTATAACATATACCTTCCTGTAAAAATGTATTTGAATTAAAAGTTGTAAATTGGAGAGAGAAAAAAAACACCTAGAATGTTAGCAAAGTGCTGATAAGCTTCTTAACATTCTTTTCAAATGCTGTAAATGTTCACATTCTAAAATTGTGGAAGAACATAATGAACTGTAGCTTGGAACATTTCTTAAAACATCCTGAAATGTCTTTTGATATGGTGCAAAAATTAATATGAAATAAAACAAATGATTTTCATTTCTGAAATGAAAACATGATTTATTGCAAGTGATGTGAATGTTGAATGCAAACACTGTTTGCATTTCAACACTTGTAGTGTTGAAAGTGCTAAACTAACATTTCACCCCAAAAGCAATCATGTTCATGTAGAGCTCATGGTTCAAAGATTTGCAGTTATCAATAAGAAAATTAAAGGCTATCATAAATCATTTACAACAATAAAGAAGTTGAAATAATGACTTCTAAAAATTTCACCTAGGAGTTTAATTGATCAGACAAAAAATATTTTTAAAGGATCATCCAAATTGTTAACACCATCTACTATGTTGTTAATGTTAAGTACAATCAAGGATTTTTAGGCATGAAACATTTAATAAAACATTAATACAGACTTACTACAATTTAGGTTTATAGTCTCACTTGTAAAAAAAAAATGACAAAAACAGTAAAGAAAAATTTTAGTCATCACTGCAAAGCTTCAATTAAAACACATAAAATTGTCTTAATTTACTTAAAAGACAAAATATCACAATTTAAAAACCAGCTTGCTGGCTTTCATTGATGCTGTGGAGCTAAAGATAACATATGGAGCAAGATAACAAACTTTATTACTGGTGTTCAAGGAAAACTATATAGAAACTTCACTGGGTTTTGAACAGACAGTACTATGGGATGCTAGGGAAGAACTCTGGAAATTTTGCCAAAGTTTTAGAAAGATTTCCAGATGTTTTAATTTGGCCCAAAGACAATAAATTTGATTATCTCCAAGTGATACAATAAAGGTGTAAATAAATGAATCACTTTTAAGTATTTTCCCAATAAACTGTATATTTACTATCATAAATTTATAGTAGCAAATGTAACATTTTTCTGAGAAGGTAATATTATCTGAAGAGCTTAGAATTGTGATAATGATAATTGAAATTACATCTTGGCTTCAGTGGCAGCCTATAGTGCTAGAACTACAAAAGTAACCTGGAAATCGTATCAAGCCTTGTATATTTTCTTCATTAGATATTTTGAAATCAGAGCAAACATTTAGAATATTAAAATATTTTTAGAAATTTGACCTTACTGAAAGTATTTAGCAGAGATACCAATTCCTTATTTAGATTTTCCAGAAAGTGTTTTAGTGATTGAGGTTTATAAATTAATTTGACGGAAACTAAAAGTGTTTGAAACTGAAAACATGAAAAAGAAGCAGAAATTCTTTAAAATAAGGAAATACATATGATATTGTATGTTAATTACAACTCAATATGATTTTAAAATAAGTATGGAAATGGAATATGCCATTTGAAATATAATATAAGGCCAATTCAAGTGAAACTATTATTATCTAATAAATTGTCTGATAACAGTTTGGTATTTTCCTTTCTGTGGTGGTTAATTTATATGTAAACTTAACTGGGTCACATGGTGCCCAGATATTAGCATGTTTCTGTGAGAATGTTTTTGGATGAAATTAACACGAGAGGAGTCCTCCTGGCTGACTGCCTCTTAGCTGGGACCTCTGTTTTTTCCTGACTTCAGACTCAGAACTCTTCTTGGGCTGAACTTGTTGGCCTTTGGACTGGAACTTCACTATTGACTCTCCTGGGTCTCCAACTTGTCCATTCACCCTGCATAGCTTGGGACTAGTCAATATTTATAATCTTGTGAGCTAATTCCTTACAATAAATCTGTGTGTGTGTGTGTTTGTGTGTGTATGCAAACACACAAAAACATATTTGTAGAGGAATTTTATTATTGCTACAGTTATGTAAAATTTACAGTGTAGTTTAGCCCTTTTTCAGAGGTCATGAGATATATTCAGCTTTTTGCTGTTATAGCAAATATCCCTAGACTTCTGGGTTTCTTAGGATCATTTCTTAGGTATGCTTTTATAAGTGTTTGTCTCTGGCAGCTATTGTTTCTTGATGTTTAGACTTCATATTGTACCCTTACATGGTAGAAGGGGCTAAGGAGCTCTCTGGGATCTTTTTTATATGAGCAAAATATTATATATAAATATATGAAATATATATTTATAAATATATATTTGTAATAATATATACATTTTATACAAATTTATATATATGTATGTGTATATACACACACACACACACACACACACATACTTCCTATTGGTTCTGTTTCTCTGGAGAACCTTGTAATATACTTTATATCTTTTTTTTGTTCCCTATGCATAATCTTAAAACATGGACGTTTTATGTAAGTAACTTTTATATAATGTTATTCTAAGTATGCTTTAGTGCTCATTGATTTTCAGGCACCTACATAATAGAAGATAGTTATATAATATTTACCTTTTTAAAGCACGAGGTATGCAGGCTTCCTGTAAGTGGGCTGGCATACGTGTAAACAGCTTGTCACAGAATATGGTTACCTGAAAGCTCAATTTCACTCACTTCTGAGTACCTTTTGGCTGTTCCTCAAATCTGGCTGTGGTCTAATTGGCACCCAGTGGGATTTCTCTCCTTCTGGTGATCTGACCCTCTTAAGTCTGCCAGTGCCATCTGCTGTGGGGTTTATTTTCTTGGAAGCTGAATCATACTGATTTCCCAGCTTACAGGTTCATCTAATGCTTCTGTTGTACACTTTTTTTTAGAGCCTGCGTTTCCTTGTTTTACCATTGGCCTGGCCCATTAATTTGGAGAAGATAGGAAATAGAGATTTCTAGCTCTCTTTGCTTCTAATTATCTACTAACAGTGAACTCTCTTCTTTGGATTTGGACCTATTCCTAATAGTCTATAGCCTTTGCTTATTCTGTGTGGTAGCTTTCTGGCTTTAATTTAATGTGTAATCATTCAGGTGCAAGAAACATCACATTTATCTGTTTTTCTAAATTAAATCTTATCTGAGCTTCCCCAGGATTGGCTAAAGAATTTCCACTACGGATGGAAAGTCAGATTCCCTAACTTTTCACTGGATCCTAAACGTTAACCCTTGGCTCTCCCTAATGCCAGATACGGGGTGTGGTTCATTGTTTTCATTCCATTGCTCCTTCTAGAGAATGCTATTGCTGGGGAATGGTCTTCCTCTGTCTGGTAGGGCCTATTGCTCTTTAAGGGTCACCAAGATGCCTTACTGCCATCTCCCCACTGATCACAGGCTTTGCTCTCAAGGCCCCTGCACTTATGCCAACCTTGACCACCCTAGAAACGGCCACATAAGAGAAACTTGCCTAACATCTTAAGAGAAACCCCCAAACCCAATCCCCTTCCCAGTCCCCAGGACCTCTTTTTCTTCTCTGATTAGGCTACTCCTTTTATCCTCCCAGCACCACTATCTCCCACATCCCTATTCCATTCTCAATACCAGGTTAAGTCCTTTCTGACTTTTCCATGGCAGCCACTGAAATACAAAGGAGCCACAACAGGCCCTCCCTGCTTCCTACACGCACACCAGTGGAGAAGAACCCAATTCAAGAGCATAAGGGCTTGATTGGAAAAGGGGTAATACCTCTCTATCATGATGAGGAACTACATTTCTATCATGATGGGCCAACAGTCAGGAAAGTAAGACCAAGGTGATTTTTCTTTTAACTATACTATGAAACATTTCAGACTGATAAAAAGGTATGCAGATTAATGTAATCAACACCTGTGTTAAGAAATAAAGTATTACTAATAGTTTGTACTCCATTATCACATTTTCCTTACTCCACCTACACCACAAGAGTACCAACTCCTAAATGTAGTGATTTTCACTTCTGTGCATTTTGTTAAAATTTAGCTACATAGTTGTACACATTTATATGTATGTGTATATATATCTATTCTTAAGCATTATATGTAGCATAGTTTGTGTGTTTAAAAAATTTATGTCAGTGATGTCTTTATAT